TCTATTTCTGGACTAATACTATACATACATTCTTATTGTATAATTGTTAAGTAACTAAACTATTCATATTCTTGTTCTTCTTATTGTAAGATTTATTTTGACCCATAGACTATTATTATACGATTTACTGTTCTTGAGTTATGCTCAGTCTGTTAATTACAGTCTTCCACATTCACAGACACTTTTGGCTAATTCTTGTACAAACGTTGTTTCCTATTTTATGGTATGATAATGTTTGTTTGGTTTGTATATAAACTCAGTATGTTTGAAGTATATGATTCGTATCACAAAGGCTGAGATTGGTGTTCTGGACTCAACCGGCAAGGAGAAGAACCGATAGAGAATCTAGACTGCTCGTACGGGTTTATGTATCATTGGTCCGGTCGATAAATCACTGTTCTTTAATCGGTAATATCATTACGTCATATATATTAATAGAGCAACAATTCCACCAGTTATAATAAAAATGTCAAAGCATTATAATTTTTATCAGAAGGGGTTGTGTGGAGATTTTAGAAATTTCACAGGTTGAAATCATGAGTCAGTTGAAGCTAGACCACCATGGAAAACCTGGTAGCACTGGACGGCCGTTCGGTCCTAGTATGGGACTCCTCAGCAGTGCGCATCCACGGTCTCGCTCCTCGCGAGATTCGAACTCAGGACCTATCAATCTCGCGCCAGACGCTTAACCAACTAGACCACTGATTCGGCATGCAATGGTGTTTATGTCTAACTGAGGAATCCCATACTAGGATGAAACGGCCGTCTTGTGCTTCTAGGTTTTCCATGGTGGTCTAGCTTTAATTGACTCATGCTTTCAACCATAATCATTTTTGTTTAAGTTTGAACGAATAGTTTGATAATTAGTTGATTGCTGAGTTAATATATGACATGAAAAAGAAAATTATATTTGTCAAAAATTTCAGCGATTGAAATTAACAGAAATTCCACATTTCATGCAGTATTTTGCTTCAAAGTTTTCCATATCAGATCTACAGAAATATACATTTATTACCTCTTATGTTATCATAAACATAAATATAATTTATAAGCAAAAATGGATAGTGGCTAACAGTGGAATCCAGGACGCTCATTTTGTCCTATTTGAGAAGATCAGAAGAATAACACCAAAAGCTAAATCTACATTTTCCCTTTATTCGATTGTTCTATTCTTTATGGATTAGTTTTAATCTAATTCAATTATACTTATCTTAATTATCATATTATTCATAATTGGCGTCAACAATAAAAACAAGAAAAGAAAAAAAAGTAGAAAAAAGTTTAATCAAAATATATTATCGATAATTTTTCAAAATTATATTGTGAATTTATTGATCAACATTTTACTTACATCCTCGGTAAGACTTTGGACGACGCCAAAATGACCTTGAGAGTATCTACTCTCATTAATAGAGCTAAATGATGGTTATAAATTAGTTTGAAGAATAAAGACAATGACTTACAGTTAATGGTAAGGGTTTGCAATTAGATTTATGGTTTTCATCATGAACTGACATCAGTTAAATTGTCAAGATGCTATTTAGACTAATGGATGAGTGAATTTCGCTCCTAAATCTGATTGGTTCGTCCATAAATTATAGTCTCACCGCTTCCCTTTTTATTCTATTCAATTATGTAATATTTCGTGTTTATTTTTTTTGGTTATATCAGTTTGATCATTCTTTTTATTGCTCTTATTATGGTGTATCTTAGCATGAGTTTTCTTTTAGCTTAATTCATTCTTCATTTTACAGGTTCCTTTTTTTTATGATCATTCTGTTAATCTTTAATCTTTTTTTGAAATGTTATATTATTCAGTATTTGCCTTGTATTGATCGAGTCCGTTTGCATTTATTTCCTATTCACTTTTTGTAATGATATCTGATACAATAATAAAGTCTAATGTATGTCAGAATGGGTTTTGTGGAGATTGTAGTAATTTCAATGATTAAGATCATGAGTCAGTTGACCAGTGGAGTTCAACCAGGTCTGTTGTGAGATAGTAACTCACTGAAGACAATGGTGGATGTGTCGCTCAATTTCGTGGATTAGTTGAAGTTAAACATTAACACCGTTGGATGCCGGCTCAGTGGTGTAGTGGTTAAGTGCTCGTGCGCGAAACCAGTAGGTCCTGGGTTCGAATCTCGCAGGGGGCGAGGTCGTGGATGCGCACTGCTGAGGAGTCCCATAATAGGACGAAACGGCCATCCAGTGCTTCCAGGTTTTCCATGGTGGTGTAGCTTCAACTGACTCATGATCTAATGTATGTGAAATAAATTTGTTCCAGAGCTTTTTTTAAGGGTAACTCAATATATGGTTTATGTAAATATGCTGATACAACTAATAACATTACAAAATTGTTTGTCTGTATGATTGTTTCATTTCACTATCTTTATGATATGAGTCGAAATTGGTGAATTTTTTCTTTTCCCCCAAATAAATCTCACGTTTTAATTTTATTTCATACTGTTCATCCTCTTATTTCGTTTCTTTTTTTCCATTAGGAACAATATTGTCTACGTTTAGTTTGTTTTACTATTACTGATACTACTGATTTTCTGACTCGATCTATTTTCATCTTCTTTTTTAAATGTTATCTTACTGTGTTAATGTGTTGTGACAACTTAGGGTTCAATTCATATTTGTAATAGATCCTGAATTAATTTTTATTGATTAAGTCTGTAACTCCATAAACATTGACAACCGAATGTGTTCTTCTTAAATGCACTTAGAAACTAACTTTGTAGATTAATGTTTATTACAAATTTTGTTTGAGTATACAAGGTTTTATTAGTTTTCCCTATTTTGTTTCTTTTTGTTATGAGACCATCAGTATGAAACATTTCAGAGTGATTTTCTCACTACTGTCACGAAGCTATTTTGTCAAAATAAATTGACTTATCTGTAGCCTTAGAGTTGTGCATTAGCAGAGTGTATTTCTAAAGTAATACTTGAGTCAAAACAGCAAACATGTTAAAGCCGTTGAATCGACTCAAATGAGTGGTGCAAATGATTGGTCACTATTTTCTCCGATGTTATTATATTGGAAGAGTTAAGAATAAAGTTTAAAAAAAAAAACGAAACAACTAATTATTGCTTCTAATGAAGTATGTATGGATATGTAGTTTACACTTACTTTCATCATATGAGCATGTAAGTTGATAATTAGCAATGGGACTGTGGTCCAGTGATTAATGCGTTTGATTTTCGGCCACTAAGTCGCATATTCCAATCCTAACCGACATTCTTCCATTTAGACAACCAATTAGTTTATCCAGCTCTCGAAGATAAGCAGACAAATCTTTACCTAGTGAGTTCTAAACAATACCAGTTAATACAAGTGATTGTTTTGCTTTTTATTGTTTCACTAATTTTTCACAACTGATTGCCTAACTTTTTTTAACTGGTAACTTTTTTTAATTTATTTAATTGTTTTCGGTTGTCAAAGCAATCACTTCTAAGTTATTTTACTTGAATAGATTTCAATAAGGAAAGAAATGGCGACATTTTTTTTTTGTAATTCATTATATTTATAATATGACCATGTATATTTTCACTGTAATACTATCCAAAACTGTTCTAATAGAACGATGGTCTATTCAGCTTTCAATTAACAGTTCAAAGGTTTAAATTCTGTTGTACTTCAATTACTTTTCATAGTTGCTTAGTTGTATCATTAGTCTGTACACAAATAGTATAGCTTACAATTGATTATATGAAGTTGTAGTTGGGAGATGAGTTATATTCGATAATATATATATTACATACATGGATTATTATAATTTTTATCAAGTATTGTTCACCTCCGACTATAAGCTCAGTTGATCTAGAGTAATAAGGTATGATGGTGAGGTTAAATGTTTATGTTATTTAGCTGTTATATAGCTGTTAACTGACTCTTATGAATCCAGTTGGTGCATATATTTGGGTTGATAATAACAGGTAAGTTTAATGTAACTTAATAACAAAGTACAGATTCTCGTTTAAATAGTAAGAATATAAACCTCTCCCCTTCAATCACGAAATGATAGGAGAATATCATAAATTCTTTGTGTATGCAATGGTTTAAATCTATTACCTGGATAAAAATATGATCTCAAAAGAAAAACTGAAGTTGCTGGATTCATCGTTTCATCAATAACCCAATAAAAGGAGCCAGCATTACTTCATGGAAGAGATAAGATGATTAGCAGTAACTATCTAATTGTAACCGAATAAAATTCCGATAAATCAACATATAAAAACTTAATAGCTCCTCAGCAATGCACAAAAATCGACTTTAATCTTTTCGATAAAATAAACTTATAAAAATACTATGGATTTGACTATCTGTATATTTCTGTTGTTAACTGAATACGTAGTTCAGTTCGAAGATGCTGCATTATGCTTGCAAATTCTATATCTAGGAAAGGAGGTTAGGTATACACATCCATAGTTATTGAAATGATCATGTAATTGCTTTTTCCTCAACAATACTGACTACCTTTTTCATATGATGCATAAAATTCAATGTCAGGACATTTTCGTAATATTTAGTTTATTGGGGAGCGTTGAGCTAATGAACAAAGTAGGGTTCTGTGCACAGGCTCCGTTCTTTTTGACGTTTATTTCGGTATTGTGATAGTATCATTAGCTTCCAGATATCAGACACTGAACATTCTGTGCTCAATATATTGTATTTGGGAGAACCAGTCTATTGTTAAATGTAATTTTACGGTGCCTTTGTAAAATATGAAAATCATACATTAAATACATTATTTACACATCTTCCTTCAGTTGCCCTTTACATACTTTACGATTCTCCCAATTCTGTTGTTATTTCAATTGCTGTCTGTTTCCTTTTCAATTCGATCTTCTGTTGTCAGGCATTCGATTTCCGATTGCTGCTACATACTACTTATTTCTGTCAGCATAAGTAACATATACCACAATATGAGTTACATTACACTAGTTACTTTCATAGTCTAATTAATAACAATGTTCTTTCCTCTTTTCTTCAGATGGCTTAACATTGGAGTATGTTCTTAGTGAAAATATTTCCATCCGTGTATTATTTAATCCAACATCAGATCAATTACGTTTTGGTTTACAAGAAGCACTGAGTCATGTGATTGTCAATAATAATTCAGTTGTTGAATACCCAGTGACTCCATCAACATTGGGTAAAGTTTGTATGGTATATAATGGTCAACTACATGGTTTTACTGGTGATTGGTTATTACAAGATTCATCTTTCAGTGGAAACAATTTACTATTATGGCTTAATAGTGAAGAAGCTATGGTAAGAATTCTTTGAATTTAAAATAAACTATTTGTTACTTGTCCCTTTTGTTGATACCCAAACTTACTTCATTAATCGTTTTTCAACCTCTTTTTTTTGGATGTAGTTAATGCATAGTGATAATTTTGTTTTTATTTCACATAGTTATTAGTTTAGTTAAGTATAGTTATATCTATATATATGTGTGACTGATGAGTTTCTGTTTATCAAGCACTTCATGAATACAGTTAAGTAATTATATTTTCTTTATAATGATAAATGTAAGTCATTTATATTTTGATAAGTAGGAAGAATATTAAATGAGAATCCGAAGTAAAGAAACCCATAACTTAGAAAGTAATGAATTAGTTTCCATGTTAATCACTTCTTATCCAATGCCACCAAAATAATTGGTTTGAGAAAAAGGTACCGTATTGACTAGTGTGATCTTAATGATAAGTTAGTTGTACAATTGATCCTTGAATCCCAACTAATTAACTACCAAACGTTTGACTTCATGGTTATTGATTAGATATTTAAGATAGAGTAGTTGACGTATCAAAAAAATATTTAATATCAGAAGTGGTTTTGTGAATATTATGGTAAATTCAATGGTTGAGATCATGATCATAATAGGACGAAATGACCGTCCAGTGCTTCTAGGTTTCCCATGATGGTCTAGCTTCAATTGACTTATGATTTCAACCATTAAGAAAAATGTTTATTGAAAAATTACAGAATACAATATATCAATTTTGTTTTGGTAGGAAACTCTTTAGCGATCCATATCCATTACATTTTTGTTGTATACAGTCTACTTCAAAAGATGTAATCCACTGAACTGACACTTAGCAACTGAAAATAGCAACTGTAATGATCAATCTTTAATATTTCACAATTATCTAAGGAAGATGGATGCGCACTGCTGAGAAGTCCGACAATAGGATGAAACATCCGTCTAGTGTTTCTAGGTTTTCCATGATGGTCTAGCTTCAAATGACTAATGAATTCAACTATTAAATATCTGAGGAAGATTAGTTAGTAATATTATACACAATGAGTAATCACTATTGAAATTTATGATCACAAATCAGTCAATTATTCTTTAGTTCTACTTTAATTTTAATCATCTTAATAACTGTCAAAATTAGTTAGTATATTTGTATAGTTCAAATGTTGATTACATAATGTTAACTTGTTTTAAAACTCCAACTATCCATATATAACCAATTAGTTGAATATTAAAATCATGTCATGTTTAAGTTTATATAATAACTATTATTTATATTAAAATGTATTAAAGATAATCACACAAAGATGGATAACAGCTGGCAGTGAAATCCAGGATATATGTTTCATTCTATCTGAGATATTTCAACTAGATATACACTTGTGTCCCGAATTTCACTACTAGCCACTTATCCATCATTGTTTACACAGGATGTATATATACCATTAATAAGTGATCAAACAATATACCAATGTATTGAAGATTATTTCAAAACTTTTTATTTGTTTTGTTGATGATGGTTTTTTTTTTCTATTAAACTTATTAAATGTTCTAAGTAATTTTTTTATTTAACTACTTTGTAATTTATAACCCCATAGAGACCATTGAATAAACATGAAAAAGAATAAATAAATTTCAATATAGTACATCTATTAATTGTTATTTAAAGTTACAGGTTTAAGGTATTTATTCACATCAGTAGCTGATCCACAATTTTATTTTGATTATTCTTTTCTTTGTTAAATCATGTAATCATGACTAAACGTTTAGTTGTTGTTGTTGTTGCTGTTATGGCTGTGTGTATGTGTGTGTGTGACAGTGAGAGAGGGAAGGAGGGGGGAGGGAGAGTGAACGCTTTTTTGAATACACAGCAGGATAGTTTAATTCTTTTTTCTTGTCTATATACATTTATACAATATTCAATATAATAGTTTATTATAATTTCTTACTATAATTTCTTTAATGATTACTTATATCATATCAATAAACTGTCAATGATTCTACATCTAATGTGTATTGTTTTTGTTTCGTTTTGTTTTGTCTTGTCAAATAATATGCTGCTATATGTTTGTTTGTTTGTTTGTTTGTTTTATTATTAAGATGATGATGTTGTTGTGAGATTTTCATTGAGATTTTGATGAGTCTACTAGTATAACTTTTGTTTTGAGAAAATTTTGATCAAAAAAGTAAATGGTATCTCTATAGAAATTTATTTGGGTTCTTGTTTAAAATCAAAAATTAAAGTTGTACTTATCAGATTTTCTAAGTTATTCTCTATGAGATCATTGTAATCTTACATCTCTCTGAAGTTTGTGCTGCTTTTGATGATGATGATGATGAAGAACAAGAACGATTAATACTTCAAGACTAAATCATTCAGCTCAAAGAACAAAAAACTCCATGAAAAACATCGATAAGATTTTGTTTTTTTTCTTCAAATTAGTCAAGATGATATAAATGAATTCATGTATTGTCTTTTTGTAAATCTGTAGTAGTTTGATTGTTACTTTTTCTATTTCCATAATTTTATTTATTCTTCTAGGACTGTATATTTAATATTTCGTTTGTCTATTATTATTGATATTAGATACTAATTTGAGTGTTGTGGAATTCAGCTTATCAGTTATTTGTTGCTATGTTGATATAAATTGTGACTAGTAAAGACGATTCATGTTTTTGGGCGCTTATTTTTTTTTTTTAGTTCTAATCAATTGTCTGATTTATTCTGTATTTCTTGACCAACTAAACTGAGTAAAACGAGAAGACAGAAAAAAAGAAAATAAATAAACATTGCTAATTGCCAACTAAGAAATTTACTCTGATAACTATGTGTAAACCTAGGTTAGGTTCTATTTCAATAATGACTCAATTATGTACCTTCAGTGATTATATGATTTATCTAATTTTACTCAATGTATTACACTATACTCTGTTAAAACTCTCAATTTATACACCGTTTATCATCTTCAGAGTAAATTTATTTAATTACTTATGAAATGAAATCGTTACATTCAGTTCCATTATTGATTGATTATCATGATATGTCGTTAAGTGAATTAACATTTGTCACTAGAACTTTGTATTTCTTCAAAATTCAATAGTTGGATTAATCCTTCACAATTCTTTGAATGGATTGAAACATACATATTTATAAATAGAACTAAATTGGAAAATACCAAAAGAAAAAACTTTTATAGTTACATATTGAGTTTCTTTTCTTTCTTATACTTCATGTTTCTATAACATGAATTGAAGTAAATAATAATGAATTTTCAACTAAATCTTATGGTTTATTCATGTTAATCTGTTCATTTTAAAATCTAAATGTTTTGTGCAATTAACATACAAAATAGAAAAGAAAAAGGTGTAACATGTATACTGCCTTAAAATGAATTCAGTACATTTTATAGATTTTCTTTATTATCAGTAAAACGATTTACCTTGAACTGTTCTAGTCTCATATCCCTATGGTAATTATTATTCATATTCATATATATATATAATTATTTTATTTGAACACATAAATATTGGTACAAGGAGGCACCAAATATATATGCGCCACACAAATCTCATTTAATTTGCGTGAGAGCTGTGATACTGCCCGGGTGCCCAGACCGAAGCAGGTGGTTTTCATAGGGGACCACACCCCAAGCCTTTGACCTAAAGGTCTGATCCACAAGGCAGTGGAGCATCGTAAGGAGATGCAGTCTCATGGTAGTCGGTGACCAACGATTGGTTCATACGCCATTTGTTCCTTCAGGATACTAAAGCCAGCCCATGTGCACCATTGGTTTGGGATCCGGTTACAGCCCCTACCAGACATTCGCTTTTCGTCCTCTCATTTTTGTAAACAACACCCGTGGTGCGAGAAGGCAGTGAGTAGGACTTCCGTGTCAGAGGCTATATACACGTGGCCATGTGAGAGCATTTCGAGAGGGAGAGAGGACTCTCCCCACTCTCGGCCATACCAGGGCATTTGGGGGCATGTATATATATATATATATATATATATAAAGGTGTAAATGTATTTCCTTATAATCACACAATAAATGTTGTATTATTTACTTACCGACAACTTTATCTCTTTAACCTTATTGTATTTATCTCTTGTCAATTTTGTTTTAAATGATACACTTGAGTTTGTTTGTTTGTTTGTTTGTTTTTTGTTCTTTCTATTTCCGTTATTCTTAAAATATAGAGAATAATCTCACTGTTACAATTGATAAAATATGCAAAAATTATCATCTATCACTTTCTTTTTAAAAAAAGATAAAAAATAATCATAATAATACAAAACAAACTTATCACCTATAAAGATACACAAAGAGAACTACTTGATTCTCTTTACCACTTTTCATTCCATATTACTTAATTGTATCTTTGTTCAATAATGTTATAATTTTGTTTCTGATCATTATTATATCATTTCATCGTTCTAGTATATTGATTAATCATTGCATAGTAGGAAACAATTGTAACTTTTTTAAAGAAAATTGTAATTCTTATTATTGATTGAATTCTATCAATCAAATTGATATGAGAATATAAAGTTTAAGTAGTTGGATATTCGAGTGGATACAACTTAAAATTAGAATAGTTCTAAACAATGAACAGGAAATTCTAAATAGACATTTCATATTCTACTTTATATATATATTAGACAATTTTATATACATTGTTAAAATAAATGATTATAATCATTGGTTTTTGAAATCCTTGTTCATAGTTACAAGCATAACTATTGTGTTATAACATTACATACTTTATATGAATTGATCACTGTAATAAATATTACAATGATAAACGTTTATATTTTCAATGATTGATTAAACTAATAACCAATATGTATGCCTGCATATTTCTAAACATTATAGTCTATTTCAATGTATTAGTTGAGAATAATTAGAATAATTTGCCTTTATTGACTTTATTTGTTCTAAAATATTTTTTGTCTCATTTTTACTTCCCTTATATTTAACAAAAATATTGAATTCTATTCTTCCTAATATAT